TACATCACGAATGCACATTTTGGTTGCCTACGATCTTTATATGCTAAAGCTCGTGTGGGATTTTGAACTCATTTTGGTGATGTTGCAGATTAATAGGCGAATGGAATTTGTATTTGCCAGTCACAGTTTTGATGTTTGGGAAAGTTGGACATTCGAAGGTTCTTTGGAGGAATGTAGGCTTGTTAACTGCAGAAATCCTTCGGTTGGTTCCTTTATCCTAAGCCATGAGCAACTAACTTTTCTGTTACAACCACTTGACATTGGGGTGGACTGTACTTGAAGTTGATAATTAATCATGTATATAAAAATTAAAAAAATCAGTAAGAAGGTTTAACAAACACAATTTATCGTATTACCGATAACTATATACTAGTCATTTCTTTCAACTAACTTCTACAATTTTTCATTGTAGACACTAATATTTTTACTCAGGTGTAATTAGACAAGATTAGTTGATCCTATATAAGTTGTAGGTTGTATTCTGCTACCAACTTTTAAAATTACGATTTTCTCATCAAGTTTGCACCCTTCCAGGCGATTCTGGATGTACGTATTGAAATCCTTGCAGCAATTGGGGAAGACGGCATCACACGCTGGCTTGATTAATTAGGTAGGTAGGTAGGTACAGGTGGCATACACACGAATTTGAAAGGGAAACAAAAGGTCGTCTCATGAAGCATTTAGTCCCTTTCAACGTCAAGAGTGTTGTTATTATTATGAGTTTTAGTGTACTGTTTAACTCCCCTCCGTCCTCATCCACAGCCTGTCTTGAGTTTGTTAATGATATGGCGATCTGTCTTGAGATTGTTAGTGACATTGGTGAACATAAATTTGTCTCTTACTGTATTAGATTCTTGGTTTTCAAGGTGAAGTTTTGTCTCAAAAATAGGAGGTGAAAATATGTAATAGTTGTGGTTGCCAGAAAAAACGGCTATTCTGATTCATGTCTCCTCAAGTCATTCAATTTTTAAATTTTAGTACTCTATAAAATCACATTTGATTGGATAAAAGGAGAAGAATGGGGTTTTTGTTTTTTAAATTAACCATATCTGTTCAGTACAACAGTGGGTGGTCGAGACCACTCTAAAAGATCTGCCTATTTGATAAGATTTAAGGATTTGAGGATGATTGCGCCAATTCAATAACAGAGTAATACTCCCTCTCTCCAGGTTGAAGGTTTCAGACTTCAGTGGTAAACTTTGGTTCATTGGGTTATGTTTATTCCACTTAATTAATCATCCTAAATTCGTAATTCGTAAACTTTGGTCTATTGATAAAATTTATTTTATCCCATTTTCTTATTTTTCATCTTCTTTCTTCCATGTTCACATACTCGTATTTCTTACGAAGTGCGTAATACTCCATATGACCATGCAATTTATACCGTGCAACCGGCGCACCATGAGGATGGTGCGCCCGGTTGCAAAACGACGTACGCTTCATTCAAAACGACGGAGTGCCTGGTTTCTTTTCTTCTTTTTTTTTTTGCTTTTGTTGTTAAAAAATGATAATAACTTTTTTATTTTTGCTCCGATTTTTATAAAATTTATATCAATATTTTTTATTTTTCATGATCTTTCAAATGAGACCAATATTGCTTATAAAAATTTTAAGAAATTATCGAACTATTATATTAATGAGTATTGGATTATAAAGAAAATCGAACTAAATTTAATATAGAAAAATAATTGTGTAAATCACAATTTATCTTAAAATTGTGTATATAAAAAATTTATTGTATATGTATTTATACATGTGAGTTACATATTTTTATACGTGAAGTTACATATTTTTACACGTAAAGTTACATATTTCTACATACAAGTTACATATATATACACATGAGTTGCATATGAATTGCAGGGAGATGATAAGTTTGTGAAATAGAAGATCGAATCTGTTTGGGAGTGGATCAGTGGCCTCAGTTACTTTTGATAATTGAGTTACATCTTTTTATGAGCGAGTTACATCTTTTTATAAGCAAGTTACATATATATATACACACGAGTTGCATTTGACCTGCCTGAACGCGAGTTACATATATTTACACGTAAAATTACATATTTATACACGTAGAGTTACATATTTTTACATACGAGTTGCATTTGGCCTGACTGAACATGAGTTACATATTTTAACACATAAAGTTACATATTTGTACACGCAAATGTTAATATGTTAAAATTACATAGGCAATATTGGTCTCATTTGAAAGATCATGAAAAATAAAAAATGTTGATATAAATTTTATAAAAATCGGATCAAAAATAAAAAAGTTATTACCATTTTAAAAAAAGAGAGAAATAAAAAATAATGAGGCCAACTGCTAGAACTACGTCGTATTGGTGGCGGGTGTACTATGCTCATAGTGGGCCGGTCGTATGGTATACGAACTGATATGACCATATATGATTCGGAGTAACAACTTCTAAAAAATTGTTCTTAATTTCCAAAAAAAAAAGTCTTTGAAACAAGTAAAAGTGAACAAATCGTCTTAGTTATACTTATACTACATATTATAGACCACTAGCTTATACAAGTCTTGGTTTCAGTCTTTCAGCCTAAAATTTTCAGGCCAAGATATTGTCCTTGTAGTGGGCACGTCAACAAATAAATTGTAAGATTGAATAAAAAAACATAATTTTTATTTGGATGAAATCAAATAACGTAAACTAGATAAATATTTTATTAAAGTCATATCGGACTATAAAATGGAATTTAAAATGTTGATTTTTTTGGAAAGAGGAATTAGTAAGTTTTTACATTTTTTATTCTACAAATCTAGGTAAAAACCGTAAAACGATCCATGAGGTGAGCGCAAAACCTCGATATTACGGTGATAGGGGTGGACTCGGACCGGGCGGCCCGGCCCGGAACCGGCCCGGCCCGGTTACTGTTTGGCCCGGCTCGGCCCGGGGCCCGGTGGGTCCACCAGTTCAATTCGGCCCGGCCCAGCTGCTGGGCAGTTCGGGTTCGGGCCCAGTTTTTGGTGAGGCGGCAGCGGCTGTACTAGGGTTCATGGGAACCGGGAAAAAAAAGAGAAAAAAAAGTGTGTCTAAAAACCTAGAGCTCTCTGATACCATGTGAAATAATGGGTTAAGGTATTTCAATAGGAGTCCTGACAGATATATTTATAATAGAAGAGTTGCCAAAATACAAAGTATTCTTAAATAGATATTAGACAGATTCCTAAATATATTAATCTATTATAAGTAACTGCCATCGTTCAATGTCATATGACTCATATGGACAAACAGAAAAAATGTCATCTTGATTGGTAGAATAATGCAATATTGATTGACACCATGCGAAGTAAAAATCAGAAGGAGAAACACTTCAATTTTTTTATCAATAATGCTAGTTCACCTGCTATAGATCTTAATGAAATAGAGCATCCTATCTTGAGTTTTTCAAAGGCTTGCGATGAAACATAAGAGGCCGGGCGGAACAGAGAAGTAGAAGAGGGAGGAGGAACTAAGGAAGAAGTAGAAGAAAGAGACTGAGAGGAAGAACGACGAGTTTCACTGAGGTCACCAGATCTGGATTGAAGTTCATTATATTGTCGTTTATCGCTCGCCACTGCCTGCACCGTTTGTCATTGCTCCAACGTCTCTCGTTACACCTAGAAGCTCACCGCCTTGTAACATGAAATGATGAGCGGAGAAGGAGCGAGTGAAGAAGATGACTAGTCAATTAGTCATGCTGTTGCCACACATATGTTTGTATGTAATTAGAAGAGTATATTTAAAACAATTGTCCTATCTAAAAAATAAAAATATACATACTCCAATTTAGGAATTTAAATAACATTTTACTACTACTTAGGATAAGCTTCCCATGATTAAATTATGAGCCCGTTTGGCAACCCTGTTTTTTATCTTATCAGACTTATCAATCAACTTTTTCACAAAATACGTAAGTTTTGATTTCGCGTGCTGGATTGTGTAATAAGCAAAAAAAGTAAGGTTGAAGTTACTTTTCTGGCTGAAGTTACTGTAGATGACCATTTTAGCTATTTTTACATATAACTTTTTCTTTATTTTATTAATAAAATATATTTTAAAAATAATTTTTTCTTATATCAGCAGAATCAGCCAATGCAGCCACTTAAGCCAGAACTTCATAAATTTCAGCAGAATCAGCCAAAACAATCGATTTTCGTGCTACCAAACGGGCTCTAAATGTGGAGCACATGTTTTTTTAACTTGGACAAAAATCATGAACAAAAATTTAAAATGCAAAAAGTGCAATACTAGAAGATATAAAGTTTGGAACCCATTTAGTAACACAAAAAGTTCAACTAAGTCAGTAAAATGCGTTGTGTTCTTACATGAAATATTTTATATTGAATGATCAAAAATAGAAATTTCTAACGTAGTCATATTTCTTATTACCTCTGTCTGGGTAGATTTTGTCAACTTTAAATTAGATAATAAATAAGAAAAGTAAAAATTTTATGATTAATGTTTGTGCAATAAAGAGAGAAACAAGCAGAAACACAAATTTATTACTACCTCCGTCCCAAAATGAGTTGCAAATTTGACTTTTCTTAGTCAAGCAGTCTCGTTTTGTTCACTTAATTAGATTGTCAATTTTTAATCATTTTCTAATTTGGAGTGTACTACTTTGAAGAGATTTTAATGTAGTTTTTGAATATATAAATTTCAATTATTAAAAATTGAATTGATTATCCATAACGAGGGTTGACTTTTATTATTGGTTGAGCAAAAAATGTTGACTTTTATCAGACAAAAAAGTTCATAAAGGTGAATGAGAACAGGAAAATATTTCTTGCTACCTCTGTCTCATAAAACTTGGTCAACTCTCATTTTTTGTTGTTCTAAAAAACTTTTTTTTTTTTTAATATCAAATATGTGACTAAAGTTATTGCTCGAAATTAATTGGGATCACTTGGCAAGTATCATATAACTGCTCCGTACAAGTACTTGCATACATACATCAAATACATGTGGGTGTGGGTTTGTATGTATTGTTTAGACCAGAAAAGAAAGTTTTTGGGGGGCCAGAGCAGCCCTCGGTGTCTCCATGACTGCCTATCCTCCTACATTCAATCGCTCTGTAGAATGTTCAAATTTAATTTCCACCAATCATTAACTAATTAAAAACCTGCCAAACCCCAGCTCAGCCACCAGTTCCATCCCCGCCGTTCATTCATAAACCTACACACAGTCGGTTTACGGCTTTACGCACATCCATAAATACATTTCCCTGCCTGTCGCCGGCCGACCTACTTTCAGACGTAACGCCAAACACTTCTCTAACCTCGAAGCTCGACTCCATCTTCTGCTCTATAATAACTTATGTTGTCCGTTCATCCCAATCCGCCAACCGGCCAGGACCCGTATTACTGCTTCTCCGGCGATCCGATGAAACCCGCCGCCCTCCCCGGCTTCCATTCCGATCAGCCGGTGACCGTCTCTAATCAGTTTGATGTCCATGACGCTGAGGTTTCGCTCCCGGATGACCCGAATAGGAAGGTGCGCAAGCCTTATACCATCACCAAGTCCAGAGAGAGCTGGACTGAGCAGGAGCATGACAAGTTTCTAGAAGCCCTCACTCTGTTAGTCTTATCTCTGTCTCTCGCGCGCTCTTCCTGTGTATTGTTTGGAAATTATGTGTATATATGCGCATTTTATTTTGTTTGCTTGTGGCTGGAGAGGGACCAGAACTTTTGCAGTTTTGATGAGAAACTTTAAGGACATCGAATTGAAATTTAACCTTTTGAGCCTGGCTGCCTAATCGTTGAATTGTATTGTTTTCTGCAATATTGGGTTTTTTCTTCATACTTCTGTATGTGTTTGCGCTCTTTACGTTCTAGTGTGATCGATCTACTTTACAGGCTCATGCTTGTATATAGGTAATTTATATTCACTTTCTCTATTATTATTACTTTAACTTTGTCATTAAAGTACTACGTAGTTATAAAAATTCATACTAAATTGCATTTGGATAGCCTGGAGTAGTGGAGTACCTCCCCCGCCCACACACCACCACTCTTACACTGGATGCTCTGCTTCTCATGTGCGTTAGGCAACTGAATCATGAAAGCTCAAGTGCCATTTACTATGGACTCAAATGAACATGAAGGATGCTTACCATGTTTCTTATACAAGTAGAGAATGATGTGACTTTGTGAAGGACGTTCAACATTTTTTAAATGTAACTAGTTACTTTAACTGTTACTAACAGGAACTAGTAATGTTCCAAAGAGTTTAGCACCAGAAGTAACTTTATAATTTGATAATTCAAGAGACTGTGTACTAACCTCATCCAGAATCAAGATTAGCATAGTAAAGCATTACAAATTGATCTTTTTTATGCTTTCTGATTTTGAAGTACTCACTCAAACTTTCTCCACTTGGATATATACCAGCTTCGACCGTGACTGGAAAAAGATTGAAGCTTTTGTTGGGTCAAAGACAGTTATCCAGGTATGCTGATATGCATCAACCAACCATTGTTTTTGGCCTGCCATTCTATATAAACATTGTTGCTTAGTGTTGCATTAGGCGTAGCGTTTGTTTAAATTCAGCACGAGGTGATAATGTGAAAAGTTCAAATTATTATATGGAGTATATAACAATTAAAACATAATGGGAAAAATACTGCAACAAGTGGATTATATCAAGTCTCCAACATATGATCAAGCTTAAGTAGCTTAAGTTTAATCTGAACAGATACGTAGTCATGCGCAGAAGTACTTTCTGAAGGTCCAAAAAAGTGGGGCAAGTGAACATGTACCTCCCCCACGTCCAAAGCGAAAAGCATCTCGTCCATATCCTCAAAAGGCTCCAAAAACTGGTTAGCAACATAACTTTTCTACTTTGATTTTTATTGTTATTAAAAGAAGGCATCCGAAAGTGTGTTCTTATCTTGCAATTTATAGGACCGCCATCCACTCTAAGTGAACCTGGCTATGTAACTAGGCCCGATCCTTTGTGTGTGCCTGCTAGTTCATTAGGAAGTGCAGCTTTATCTCCTTGGAGTTACAGTAGTGTGCCTGGTTTTTGTACATCACCCGTGACAAAAGGTAATAACACGTGTTGATATTTTCTTGAAAATTTCTCCTCTGGATTGTCAGACATTAATTGTTCAGATGGGTTATTGATCGCAGATTTTTTTTTTTTTACATTTTCATCTTTTATCAGATGACATACAGTTAGTGGGTGCAAGCTGTAGTAATGAAAGCACTCCCAGAGTTTTGACTACTAATGAAACATGTGGTCAAGGAAAAGAGAAACAAAGCAAGGAAAACAGAGGTCAGTATAGTAAACATGCTCATAGGGCATCATTCACTTATCGGAGACTGAACATGTAGTTAATTGTAGGATGACTATTTTTTTGGCTATATATACTTGATTTAAATGTTATACTATAGAGTTAATCTTTGGGTGAGGTTAAAGTTTTGTATACTTTCCTAATAGAATAATGCCTGCTCTCTTCATATTGAGGCGTTACTCGTTAGGTTCATGTAACCATAAAAGGGGAGGGCCTTGCATTTTCTGTGTTCTCCTTTTTACGCTGCTTTATACATATAGCTTTTTATCCTTTTATTGCTTGCCTATTTCCATAACATTTTGTTCACACTATCTTTCCACCGTTGGATGTATTTTTTCTACTACAATTTTTTACTAGTTTCCTCGAAACCCTGAATTGTTTCTCCTTAGCCGGGGTCTTCATGGAAAAAACCTTTTCACTCTTTAGAGGCGAAGGTCTGCATACATGATACATCTTATTAGCATCTCTTAGATGACCATAGAAAATGGAGAGTTTTTGTAACTTCATGATCTCTTTTACCACGAGGTGTTTATGATCTGTGTTTGGATGGGTGCAGTATTGCCGGATTTTGCCCAAGTTTACAGTTTCATAGGCAGTATATTTGATCCAAACTCAAGTGATCACATGCAGAGATTAAAACAGATGGACTCCATAAATATTGAGACGGTATGCCTCTAATACCTCTGATGTAGAAACTGTTGTGATAATGCATGGAAATTAACTTGAAAATGAAAACTGTGAAACAATGTTGTTAAATGGAGATATTACATTATTTTTTAACATTATACTACGTAGTAGTTATGAATTTGTAGAGATCATTGGTAGGTCCGCCCATTATTTTGTGCTTATTTTTCATCTCTGCAAGTGGCCTAACTTTTAATGTCTTACTCTTTGTGCTTTATAGGCAGTGATGTTGATGAAGAATCTTTCTATCAATTTAGTAAGCCCAGAGTTTGAAGATGTTGTAAGTTCAAAATTTGTTACCCATTTCAGTGCTTTGGGAAAGCATAAGTGTAACCCTTCCATTAATAAATTGCTCCTCATACCCAGTGGAGCAGGCTGGAGGGGGCCGTGGCCCTCCCCCAATGCTTTTCCTAGTCTATAACATGTACAAAAAAATTATAATGTATACTCCCTATAGCCCATTTTGTGTATGTCACACATTCTTTTTTGGTCACTTTACTTCCCTAAACTTTACTAATCCTTTGCTTTCCCATCTTTTATCTATCAGTGTACTATCTCCATTATTTTCGGGAATCTCACGAGGCATAGTATAATAAAATATGTACAATTATGAAGTTCCTGTGTAAAATCTCATGTTCTGCAAATATCTATTTTAATTTTGGTGCAGAGAAGGACGATAGTGCAAGAAAAGCATAAAAGTAATTGCAGCTGCAGCTATCCTCGGCTCTCTAGTGTGATAGGGAAATAGGTTTGGGTTCTTCCCATCATCTTCTTTCCCGTTTTTTAGTGCTTGGTAGGTTGGTCAATATGCATCCAGACAATATACATGTGGGGGCGACCAAGCATTTTGGAGGTTTTGGGTGTGTCCTTAGATTCGATGCTTTTCTGTACATAAATACTCCGTATATGTGGAAACAGAGTTTTTGGTCCTAGAGTTTGGATAAAAGTTATTTAAACCAATTTGTACAGGGTGCTGTGGTTGGTATATTACTCAATGGAACGTTTCTATAGACTATAGTTATGTACAATATCCTTGAACGTTTCTAATACGGTATTTTGCACTTCATTTTTTAAAAAAATAGTATGTGCAACCCCATTCCCTACTACCGTTAAAAACTTAATTTGTGAAGTGGTGGGATGTAAAATGAAATAATTTGTACTCCGTAATATTTTGGGATGCATATAGTGTGGGCTGTTTATGCTCCTGACATTAAATAAGGAGTATAAGAACCTGGGACTAGGACTCACACTCCCATTCCAGGCTCAACTGGCTGATTCTGGTCAGGCCCGGTCCCAATGTTAATATTTAATATTTCAACATTTTAAGTGTAATGTGTTTTTTTCTTTGCTCCACTTGACCAGTGCAGCTTTGTGCTTTTACCAGATCAAACATACATTGTTATAAATCAAAAAAACTTTTCTTGTTTCACTTTGAAAATAAAAACTAAGAATGTTTTTATTTGGATTGAAATTTTCTGGTATGATCTGGTAAATGTTTGGTCTTTGGCTATGTTTGACACAACGAGCTGAAATTGGAAGTCAATGTCTGAATTAGAAGCTATTGTCTGAACTAGAGACTATTGTCTACGAAGTGTTGAATTTGAACTACTAACTGAATAGAGTATAACCGTTTGGTAAAAAGAGCTGAAAGTGTGACTGGAAAATATAAAATTACTTTAAAGGACATGAAATATATTATTAATTTTTTTTTATTATAAAGGTTTTTATATTCATAATAAATATTAAGATTATACTTCGTACAAAGTACTATTAGGGATGGACCGGTCCTGGGTCCGGGTCGGGCTTAGGGGGGCTCGGGTCGGGGAAATGGAGGTCCAGAACCGGACTGGCTATATTCTGGGACCGGGTCGGCCCTAGGTAGGGTACCCATTTTTCCAAGTCAAGAATCAAAGCACCGCAGACCTCTAGAGGCAACTCATCTAAAGAATCAAATTTAGAGGAATCAGGATTCCTGTGAGAATGCAAAGCCAACAGGCATGCGGCCATATTGCATGTTCTAGAGATCAAGAAAATAGAGTTTGGAGGCAAGGCTTCCTTGCAATCTCTCACAGCAGCAGCTAAAGAACAATCTACTGACACCGAAGAAGATAGAAGGTGATGAACGCGATTAGCATGAAATTCAAAATCTAACAGATCATCCCTCCATTTAAGGACCTCATAAAGGGCAGCAAAATCTGCCTCCGTCCTGCTCTTGAACTGCATGCGATAAATCTTGGCTGAAATAAAAGTTCCCAGATGGTCTCTAACAATTCCAGCTGCCATATTGATTTTCCGCCTTGGATAGGAGGGCCTCTGCCACCGTTCAATTCTAGGTTTACGCCTCATTTATTTATGAACAGAGGAGGAAGCAAATTAGAAGAGATCAACCTGGAAGTCTGGAACATTTTTGCTTAATTTCCGATTTGGTAATGGTGAAGCAAAAACTTTGCATAAAATTCCTTATCTTGGTGATTATTTTACTGCATGCTTCCGAGGACTGGAGGATCCCCATGTAATGCTGCAATATTTCACCCAAATAAATCAAACTATAGCATTAGGAAGTAAAGCCATTTACCTTCCAGTTAATGAAACAGATAAAATTAAACAGAGGTAGAATGAAATTATATTTTTTATGTTAAAACAAAATGAGCGAATCAAAATGATACAATTTCCAAACTCCACCTCTACGTTATGTGGAAATGATTTCGAAAAATCATTGTATACACTATTTTAGAATAATATGTTTTTAAAACGCTTTTAGCAGGTCACTCCCATCCTTTTTATTTATTTTCAAATCACGCCGGGTCCGATTCTAGGAAAACCAATGAACTTTGATTATACTTAGGGGTGGACCCGGGTCGGGCCGGGTGGCCCGACCCGGAACCGGCCCGAACCGGCACTGTTCCGGCCCGGCCCGGTGGCCCGGTCAGTGACCGGTCCAGGTTGGCCCGACTCGCTAGGGTTCCGGTCCGGGCTCGGGCCCTCTAAATCACGAATCGGCCCGGCCGGTTCGAGCCCGGTTCCGGTTTGTTTTAATTTTTTTTTGTTTTCGGGTTGGGCTGGGTATTTTGGGCCATTTGGGGTGGTTTGGAGGTGTGGGGGAGGGGGGGGGGGGTTAACTAGGAAAAGGAAAAGAAAAAAAACTAAGGCCCAAGGCCCGGGGAATACCCGGGCCGGTTCCGGGCCCCCCATTCCTGAACCGCCGGCCCGACCAGGCCTAGGCCCAGGGCCGAATGGGCCTGATTCCACGCCTAGTTATACTGTCATCACTCATCACCATTTCATTTATTTTATAAAGACAATATTGGTTAGAACTTAGAATCAGGTGTGGACTCGGGCCGGGCCCGGCCAGTTCGCCAAATGTAAGACCCGGACCCGCCCCACGGGCCAGGTGGCCCTACTCGAATCCACCCCTACTTAGAATAGTCAATGCTGAATGGTTGGATGTTAGACGAATGTATATCCATGAGCTCAACAGAATTTTGGGGTGAAAAAAACAGACAAAAAAATGTTCTGTACAAAATGAAGCTACACAGACAGAATAGTATCAACTATCAAGATGATACAAAACCATGAAAAGATGTTTTTATATAAGAAAAGAGAATAGTGTCTAAACAGAAGGAATGCAAACCAGAAGCAAGAAATGTTTGCCACTACACATTTCCTTGCACATGCGTTCTCTGTACAGGGTACCCCACAGTTTACAGATATGCATGCACTGATGCACGTTTAGTTTTTAACATCTAAATGGCACTTGGATTTTCAAAAATATTATACATTGAGCACATAGCACCAATAGAGCATTGGCTTGAACTTATAGCTTCAATGGAAGGAGGCAGCCTCTCTCTTTCTCTATCTATCTATATCGCAGTCCCATGTCAAGCTCATGGCCATACATTCCTTGGCTATTTGCAGTAGCAGCAAAAGGGTGGGTTTGCTTTGGACTCCCCCTGAGTTCCATTTCAAGACGTCTCTGAATTGCTTCACGAGGCTGATTACCTCCACCATTAATAATATCAGCTGCAAAAACAATACGACAAGGTTTTGACAAGTACTTTTCATTTCCTACTCATGATGTATGTACACTAGCCTCAAATTTGTAAATTGATAGAACACGTGCTAAGACTTCTCGAGGCAGTAAGCAAGAATAAACCAAACATACAAAATTCTTTTGACAAAAGTCAAATTAACTTCAGTAATACTACGTATTGAAAGAACTTGAAAGAAACTTCTGTCCCAAAAAAGGATCATGCTTCACAAACTTTTTTGTTCCAATAGTAGAATCTAGTTTTAGAAGTCAACTGTCATGAGAATAAATCTTGAGAGTACAAAAGTGACCATTTATTTGTAAAAAACTTGTACTTTGATTGAGTTGACTAAAATATAAAGATTGCACTTAACTCAACAATGAGCTGTCTTTGGGAGAACAGAATAAAAAATTATATTTTTGGAATCTGAGTTCTATAAAGCCCAAGAGGTTATTTTACAATTTAATAGCAAATAAATTGGTAAAGAATGGTAAATTTGACATGTGTATTGAAACACGGAGTAAAATGAGACTCTGCATGAAGTTCATTTCCCTAATGTATGGTTTAAAGATCCCAAAAAATGTAAGCACCTCTGGTAACAGTGTGCTTATAGATTCTCATGTACAATTGCACAAGAGAGCAAGAGATACACATTTACAGTTTTACCTGGCATTGGAATCCCAAAACCATCGATGCTGGGTTGGCGAGGTGGACGCACCCCAAATGGAAAATTTAGCATCTGGTTCCGTTCCTGGAAAAAAGCAGCTGGCTGATTGCCGCCAGGACGAGGAGCCGGACCACTCCTCATCCGATCATGCAACATGTGAGGATAATTTCCCTGCATTTGCATATTATGTTGGTTAGGAAGATCAAACCCTGCATGATGAATCAGAGGGCGCATCATATTTCCTGAAAACTGGTGACTTGTAATATCTGGACCCAAAAACTTCATATGTGAATTTGAATGAGAAGGAAGTGTCTCAAATGGGTGAACTGGTGATGATCTCCCTTGACTATATTGCATAGGATGGAACAGTGAAGCAGATGGCTGAGCGGGAAGATTGTGAAATATCTCGGTCTCCACCTGATGATCACGTGCACCATGCAAAATAGATGCTCCTCTTGAGCCACTAGGTAACAAAAACTCACCTTGATTCAAAGTTCTATCATCCCCATAAGGTGAAACCTTAGGGTTTACTGTGTTATCACTACTAAATATTAAGCTCTCATCTTCCGGAAGCTGAAATCCTTGTAACCCAACAGAATCACTGTTTTTGTATGATGACCAATCATTTTGGTACTTCAGGTTCGGTTCAGTTTGAGAATCATCCAACCCTAACAAGTTATCTGTCTTGTCAATTTTATTAGTTCGCTCTCTATCAGCCAAGTTTGCTTCAGTTTGAGATTCAAAGCCATCTTTCTGCCCAACTGAAACCGGAGCTTGCATCGATTGCAGCTCATTCATAAAGGCAGATCCAAAAAGAGTTTCAAGAGTGATTGCTTTACCAAGAGTGTGATTTTCTTCATCCACAGGCTTATTATTATCTTCTGTACTAGAATAAGGGAACTTATTGTTGATTTCAAGATCTGGTCCTTTCTGTAACAAAGAAAGAAGGTGCTGAGATGCATGATCATCAACAGGCTCCTCTCTTTGTTCTTTGGGCTTAGAGTTTGTGCTCCAGGATGGAAACAGTGATTGCAAGTTCGAACTTTTTTCACTGTACTCTGACAAAATAGTCTGCTCAAGATCTTCACAAGTAAGGACGGTCGGGACTGGATCGTCTTTACCAGTTGCAAATTGTGGGGGTTCGCACACATCAGGTGATGCAGCAGATAGTGCATTAGACAGAATGGTATCAATAGAGTTCACATCATCACAAACTTGTGGTCTGCTAACATCGCCGCCATCAACTAATGGAAGTACATCCTTTGGTATATTAGTTGATGCATTGTCTTTTTGCTTATTATCTGCACCAATGTGGAGTATGACAGCTTAAAAATGACTTTAAATCTTTAAAAAAACAGCACAAGTA